AGCTACAGTCTAATTAAAATAAGAATTGTTTAAATATATGATTACATAGAAAGTTCTTTATTTTTTCATTGTTTATACTTTAAAATTGACTGCTGGCCATGATGCAGCTGGAACAATCGCAAATCGTCCTTCACCACCATCATTTCGTGCTTTAAATTCACACATTTTACGTCCACCCACAAGCCAATAACCACAATCAACCAATGATGGAACTGAAACGAATAGAATTAACATTTTGTCTACTGTTCATCATCAATCTTGTTCTTATATATATGTTGATTATACGACCTTTTGGGTATCCTATATCCGCAAAATAATTATTTTACAATATCATCTAAAGCATCTCCTGTAACATGTGGTTTTAAATATAAAAAATGTACAGCTGTCTCTAAGGCTTTTAGTGACAGACAATGTCTTAGTTTTGTTTTAGATCATTATTAATTAACACCCATGTCGAACTGCCGACGGTAAAGTGCAGTACTCATAAAAGACGGCAGTAGCTTTAACGGCTTTTGGTTCCAGCTGTAAACAATTGCAGAAAATATTTTCTATCCGAATTCGAATTATTTTTAGAAAGAATTTAAATTAATCAAGAAGAAAATATTTTCAGGTGTTCAAATTAATTTAACTAACATTTATTCTAGATCTACTCGAAATACAATTCATGTTAACAATTGGAACTAATTAAAATGTTGTGCGAATAAAAAGAAAAAACTCCGAAAACGTAATCGAAACTATTCTCTGTATTTTCATAAAAATATAAACATTCATTATTTACGTGTAAGTACTGGTGGTGGTCTTTTAGCTAATAATTTAACTGAAAATTCTGTTCCATTTGAACATTGTACAATAATTTCATCTTGAAAAACACCTAATGTATCAGGTGAAAATTTAATATTATATATAACACTTAATCCAGTAGCTACAAGTGAATGACCAGATGGATATTGAGGAAGACTAACACAAAAATATGGTGTTTTTGGTGGTACAATTCGACAACTATGTGCAACACTACTTAAATTTCGTAAACATAATGTTGTTTCATGAACATCACCAACTCGATATTGAGTAAAAATAATTTCAGATGGAACAGCTTCAAATACAGGTAATAGAGCTGGAGGTCTAAAATATAACAAAAGAAAAAAAAAGGATAATTTAACAATTTGAGACTTTCGAAAGAATTATCATACTTATTTGAAGGACCTGTTGTAATAAGTTGATTTTGTCGCATTTCATCAAATCGTGGATTTGTTTGATAATTAGTTAGATTATCAAGCATTTTTAAACGAATACGACTTAAATCTCTTTCTGGTACACTTATTTGATCTTTCCATAGGGTATTTAATGCTTTCTTTTTAGTTTGATGAGTAAGTTTAGGCTAAAGTTAAGAAAAATACAAATATTTGGTTTTGAATCAAGAATAGTGAGTTGCTATTCAATAATGTCGTCAAATTTGTTATAGTTTTATTTTTGGTATTTCACTACTACTCCTCTAATAGGAAACCGTTACATATAGTTTTTTTATTATAATTTAAAACTTTCATATAGTTTAGCTATTTGGTTCGAATCTTTGCTCCAGATATTTTGAAGTAGTTCTTATGAAGATCAGATACATTGAGTTTAACTCATCATTAGGCCATCTTAAACCGATATGTGTTTGAATTCATGTTAGATTAAGATGCTTAGGGAACGAAAATGTTCATGTTATTGAGCATTTGTTTCGTTTTCGATTATTTTATCGTTCTTTATTTGCTTTTTACGTTCGTGATTGAAGCTATCTCATGTACAATCTTTTCCTAGGCATGTACAGTGTTGGTATAAATACTGGCAGTAAATCACCTACACGTGGCCCACTGAAGAGTTGAATACATTGACATTCACATTTACCGCAACATTGAGATATCAACTCTATGAAGATATGCCTTTTTTGTAGTGGTGTATTCCGATATTTCAGCGAATAGTGCTGCCAGTGTCCACTAACTATACTGATGAAGAAACCTCCTTAGATGTTCCGTTTTGATTTCAACGATTTTTTAGGCTTATAGAAACTAATGTTATAATAAAAATCGTAAAACTATTTGAGTTCTTACTGAAATTTAACTAAATTACTAAATATTCATTTGAAACTGTGCACATATAAAGAACTCAACTGAACTGACTTCTATAAAAAAATTCAGAAGTTCCGAAAAGCTCGAATCTCTAGAAAAAATTCGGTAGTTTAGTCAAATATCAATAAGAACCTACATTCTTTTAGGAATGTTTATTAGAATGCTATGTAGTATCTATAGGCAAAAAAAGTGATTGAAATCGGACGTAGTTCCCACGTGAGTCAGTGACGTCATTCAACTGGAACTGTGTATCTATATCTCGTACTCGCTATCTTCTGTTAACTGTATATAATGTATTTTTTTTCTTCTATGTATTCATTGAGCAGGCATGAGACTCATTATAATTAAAACATATAATAGAAAAAAAATATATTTTACCAATTTTTTATCATCATCCGTTACTTGTTTAACACTTTCTATGATATCTTTTGGTTTTGTTTCTTCTTTAGCTAAACATTAAATTTAAAAAAAATTTGAAATACTTAATCTTCAATACTTACATGATTGTTTAATATGTCTTTGAAGATTATAATTAAGAAAATCTCGTGGTAATATAACTTGATCTCTTGTTAATGTTTGTTCATCGACATACAGACTTGTAAGATGTGCTTCTAGAAAAACAAAAGACGAAGATATATTTTTATTTTTATTTTATTTATTAAGAATTGAATGATTTCGTACTTTCCTCTGCATCTTCATCTTCATGTGCTTGAATATGAGCTAATAAAAATGCTTGTTCATCATGTCCAATTTTTTGTAATTGATATTCTCGTTTAGCTTGAATTTCACGTAAATGTTGAACATATAAACGATGTGTTAGATCATCAACATTTCCTGATACAACTAATTTTTTAACAGTTTCGGGACGTATTGGAGTTTTGAGAAAATTTTCTCTAAAATAAATAATTGTGAATAATTAATTTCTATTCAAAAAAAAAAATATTAATTTACCCAAGTTCTCTTGAAACAACATGTGCAACAGTAGCAGTTAATGGATTATGAGGTATTTCTGGTAGAGTATGTCGTTCTTCAATATTTGGACTTCGTATTGAATTACTTGTATTTGTATTTGGACGAACATTAGTGGATGCAGCTCGAGACTGTTGTTGAGGATATTTAGGATTGACTGGAGATGATGAATCACTTTTATGATCGATATTTGTTGGTGATACTACAACTGTTTCACCTTCCATTTTAAATACTTAGTGGTTTACAAATTGTTAGAAGGCATTGATTACCATTTAAGATTTCATTGTCATGGATATTAACTTAACAGACTAGTTTATTGTTTTCAAGTTTGAATGAAGTAGCAGAAAAAAAACACAAATTTGAAAATTAATGAATACTTCTTCATATTTTAAAGTTGAATAGCTGTTTTCTTTTAATTTAAACAAGATGTCACTAGTGTCAACATCCTTTTTAAGCTCTTTACCAAGAATAGGGACACGGTTAGTGATATTTAATTTCAACTCAAACAGGTAGGCCTATACAGTCCAGTGAAAACGGCAAAACAGCCAGTCTGATTCTGTTAAAAATTCTCGACTGGTTACACGTACACCTGCGGAACAACTTACTGTTGTACTTGAAATTATATTAAGCTATGTCAAAGCACATCAAGCTCATTTTGAACTAGTTTTAGCTATGTCAAGCTATACTAAACTATTTTGAGATACTTTGAAGTACTTCTAATTACCTCAAACAATTTCAAAATTTCTTTATACAAACAAAATTACATATTCTGGATACTATGATGATAGGTGGTTTTATTTCTGCTAGTTAATAATATGGTATAACAGACTAGATATCCACCAGTATTAGTTTGCAGGCTAGGCCGTCAAGAATGTGACTGATGCATACCTATAAAAAATGTAATTTGTACAAAATAAGAAGTAATACAAATCATATAAACATTTTCATGGTTTGTTCAAGAGAAAAGAGCGCATTTCAAGTGGAAAAGTAAATTCTAAAGTATTCTGGCCTAATTTCAACAAACTTCTCTGTGCTTACAATCACTTCTAAATTTTCACAATTTTTGCTAACAACATGCGCTTTAAGAAACACGTCAACGATTATTTTTATTTAATATCGTCTCTCGAAGAAATATCTTTGATTTACTTCACTGGAAAAAATAGAATAGTTCTGAATTAGTATTGTTTTGAGAAAGAAAATGAATTACATGTTGGGTTTTCTCACCTCTTTGAAAATGTTTTTCTAGGCATGTAAACTTTAATCATAGAAATCAAAGAAAACTTCTAATAGTTTTTAGTTTATCTAACTCGAGTTCTCCGTACAACTCTTCTTGATTTATAGCAAAATAATACTATTGAAAGCTATTAGCAAAGTATGACTCATCATACAGTCAAATAGAACTCAACATTTTGTAAGCCCGCTTTACTATGAAAATGCTACAAATGCACTGCCAATGACCGTGAAAGGTATTGGTACTTGTATAAGACTTCCGACGCACTATGCAAATCTATCAATCTGATGGAACAAGAAACAAATGTTTAAGCTTACTCTAGCCTACGATATCTAAATCTATGATAGGTTGCAGTCTACCAAATCCTCATGACTCCATGACCTATGATGCTGGAAATCAATTATCATAACATCGTTTCATGATTCAAAAAAAAATACCCATGTAAAAATCCTTAATCGATACCACTGATTGCTTAGCTATTGCAAAATTCAGTTGAAATCATAACATATATTGTATTAGATTTTTTCATGAGAAAAATTTTTTATTTAAATTTTAATTACCAATGACAGCAACTGATCTACTAAACAGTCACTGTTTTCGAGTTTATTAAAATAAAAATATAAACATGCTAGCGAGCAGAAAACCGGGCTATGTTATAAATTATATGCATTGGTTTTATATATTGATAGCTCTTAGTCAATAACACCATCGTTAATTAATTTGTGTCGATATTCACGAATAAATGTTTCCTCTTCATCTAATAACAAATCAAGATAATCATCGGGTCCACTATCACCATTAATATCTTCTAGTTGTCGATTACCACGTAATAAATCAGGTACAATTGTTTCCAATGTAGTACGATTATGTTCATCAGCGGCAGCTTTTTCATCTAATCGAGCCCTTTTAGCAGCTAGAAACAAAAAAGAATAAAAAAGAAAAAACATGATTTAATATTCTTATTTTTACCGCGTTTCTCAACAATTTTTCGTGCTCGTTCGAATAAATTTGACATTGGATTATCCGTCGTTGTTCCTATTGGATTTCTAAATTTTTGTAATAATTCTTCTGCTGCACGATCTAATCGATTATCATGAATTTCTAATAAAGCACGTGCTTGTTCAGGTTCAGCGCCTAACGCTACTAATTGTGGTATAAGTGTACCATCATCAATTAATTCACCTTCTTGATTACTACTAGCACCACCATCATCATCATTATGATCATCTGCTGACAATCGACTAACAGTAACAAGAGTATCAATATTTGTAAGTAACATTTCACTAGCTTCTTCTAAACGATTATTTGCTTGTTTTAATGCTTCGGCACAAGCTCGACGAGGGTATCCCATTGATTCAAGTTGACGTAAATAAGTAATATTAATTCTACAAAAAAAATAGAGAAATTCTAATGAATATAAAAATGATCAAGCAAAATATCTAAATACTTTTGTCCATTTTGAGTATGTCCATAACGATTTTGTAAACGTTCCTCTTCTTCTCGAGCTCTTTCTTCACGAAGACGTTCTTCTCGCACTCGACGATTCTAAATTGAAATCATGATTGTTTGATACGAAAATTTACAATTATCTTTTACTTCAATAATAAATTCGACAGCCTGATCAATATTTCCTTGTGAACTTCTTAAACCTCGTCGAGCTTCTGTTACTGTATAACCCATTAACATAACTAAATAAACGAAAATTTTTACAAAAAACAAAAACAATATAAAAAAAAACAATAAAACTAACTTTGAGTCAATTTTTCTGGATCAACATGCATCATTCGTGCTTCTTCTTCCGCCATACCTAGTAAATTTTTTGCATCAATCTTACGACCAGCATGGTAAGCAACAATAGCCTATCAAATATGATCTTTATTTATGCTTTCAATTTAATAAAACAATATTTCATATGTACTTGTAATAAATGTAATCGAACAAAAAGTACCATATGACCTTTACCATCTTTTTGTAAAGCATTTAAACGTTGAAATGAATTTCCATAAACTTTAACAAAACATGTATCACATCTCATTAATCGTTCAGCAGCATCTACCATGAAAACATAAATAATTTCTTTTGTAAAAAAAACAAACACAATAAATTTACCTTGCAAATCATTAACATTTTGCATACAAAGATAACACCATACAATATCCAAATTAAGTAGACCCCTATTAATATAAACAAAAATATACAAGATTTTCCACAAGTCCGTCTGGAAACACGAACATGAATAATTCGTCAACAAATCAAACTATTAATTTCCTCATCGAAAAGCAGCATCTCTTTGAACAGATATGTTATAGAAAATAATGTTTCGAAATTGATTTATTGTATTGTCGAAATGTGGACCTTCCGGAACACTTCCTGTCGATACAGTTTTACTAATAATATGAACTGCATTGATTTTATCTTCTGTCATAGCTGTAGGATGTTCAGAATATAACTAGTCCGCTTAAGTCTCAGCTTGATAACAGAATTTAAAGATTTCTTTAATGCCATTTTCTGTGTCAGACTCGACTAGCATAGTACAGGTTACAATCGTAGTTAACTCAAACTCAACCACTGATAAAACTATTCATGTTTTGTTTCATGCCGATGGCCTTTTAGAACACGCAGTATATAGAATTTATTTAATTGATGTTTTCTTTTTTTTTTAATATTACCAATTATCAACAGAATTTAACATTTGTGATGAACATTGTCGAAATTCATTATCAGCTTCACTAAATAATGATAATGCACTTAAATAATCACGTTGTCGAAGAAATGAACGACCTTTTTCATGTAATGTCATTGCTATCATTAAAGAACGTCGTTCATCATCTGATAATGCTGTTAATTCACGTCCTTGTTGATCAGTTATACGTAATTGATATTGACTAGAATTAACTGCATTACGAGCATTATCATGTAGAATTTTAGTTGCTTCTTTAACGGCTTGAATTAAATTTGATGTTTGAACATCAGCTGAGGCTGAAGCAATAGCTGATTTTGGTACAGCAAGAACTAAAATTGTTGTATTTGTCTAAAGAAAAACTAGTGAAGATAATAAAAATGTAATGTTTAATATACATGAATGTTTTGTTTTTGTAACGATTCATTGAGTTGAATCATTCGACCTGAACAAATCATTTTGAGATTTTGATCATGTAAATTTAATTTTTCTTGAATTAATTTTTCCAATTCATGACCATTACTTTGACATGATATACTTATATTTATACAATCATTCTATTTAATAAAATAAAAATTAGAAATGTTTATTATACGAAAGAATTCTTGTGATTTCTCTCACTCTCTCTTTTGACTCACTTTATTTTTCGAGACACCAGATGAACGAATTTTGAGTGTTATCAAATCCGTACGTTTTTTAGAAGCTAATTTTTCTAAAGCATGTCGACGAAGATACGATAGAGCAAGACGAGTTTGTTCTATCGTACATCCGACTTCCGCACAAATACTTTCAATTAATTCCTATGTCAATATAATTATATATAAAAGAAGAAAAATAAATTAGAGAAAAGTTTATTGTTCATACATCAGGAATATTTTCAGCACCAGTATCAGCATCTGTATATGGTGCTTCCCAAAGACGAATCTTATCGCGTTGAAGAAGGGGTCGAATACGATCAAGAAGTTCTTTATTATTAAATTCTTCAATTGTTGTTGTTAAAGATGGACCAGCCATTAGAAATAGATTCTCTTTTTGAAAATTTTTTGCGCAGTAATGAAATGACAAGAGAAAGGTCTATTGACTAAATATCATTATGTTGCGCGAGCACATGAAAAGTTAGGTAGGAGAATGAGTCATTGTCTCTGCTCATGACAAGTATTAAGAACCAATCAATTGTGATTGTGTGGTTTGATTTTGACGACGTCGGACATCTATTTATTATTCATTTGTCGAAACTATGACAATACCAAACGAAAGTTGTCTGATTACAGAAGCATGTATATGATAATTGTTGAAACAGGTTGTAGCATGACTACTTGCCCTTCTTGCCTATTCGGTCAAATTGTTATTACTACAATGTCGTGTCAAAGTCTTGCGTTCTCATTCGTATATAAACTTGTGTTTTAGAGAAGATAGACTCAATTGTGATGATGAAACAATGTAATCAATACATATATATATTGATGGTGACTGTATTAGTAACCTCATTTATGAACTTTTCTGATTCTCGAAGATACATGTCTAAATAAAAATATTTGAAATGAATTTTGGCAATTTTTCTTTCTGATGAGCTTTGACATTCCATAGAACCGCATCTTGGCTGTTCACGACTCCCATCTATCTTTATTTAATTGGATTGAAACTTTTACCACTAATACTTGGAAGTATTCTTCAATGATAAAACTTTCCTGTACGAATTTGTAGAATCCTGCAACCCAACACTCCAGTTTAAAAACGGAACATTCATGTATAAAAAAAAAAGAAAGTGAGAGTTTTGGAAAAGGTTAAAACTATCTCTGAGATATAGTCTTAGATATCTTTCATATCAGTAAAGTTTGATGAGGATCGTAATGTATCGACGTGTGAATCTATGAAAAAACATGGTCTCTCAGAAACAAGGTAGAAGTCCACTTAAAAAGTTTTTTCTTCAAACAAATGTCTCCGTATTCTTGGTGTATAAATCTTCAGTAAACTGATGAGATCGATTCCATAACTTGACTTGAATCGATTGTTTTTTAAAGCCTAAAAGCCAACTGAATAAACTAATTGTCATAATTTCATCAACATCAGAACACATTCTAACAAATGCATTTAATTTAAACATGTTCTTTTTATAAATGTATTTCGAATGGATAAATCATTCTTTATATTCTAAAGAAAACGATCACGACTCATATATATATATCAAGATAATAAGGATTATGTCAGTAACCTGCTACACTAACAACATCTTGTATATTATCTTTATATATGCAAGTTCACGAATCAATTTCAGGAACTGTAACAGCAACGCTATCGTAAGAAAAATCGAGCATATGAAATTCTCATTAATAGATATCGATCAACATGAATTCTGTTACAAAAAGAAAGGTTTAACTTGATATTTTATGAGAAACAGTGTTTTATCCAGATTTTCTCTTTCGGAGAGATCGGGAAGGTCAAACCAAACTTCGAAGGAACAAGAATGAATCATCCTATTGGTTATTACTGTCTAGCCATAAAATATAGATGCCTGGAAACATGTTTCATTGACCCAACTAGCGAGTTCAAAAGTGATCACAACCGAACGATGCATTTTTGCATAGATTAAGATCGAACCAAAAATCATAACACTTATTACATATCATTCTTAGTTGCGGATAGATTTCCGACTAGATAAAAAAAAAAGCTGCAAGCACTGTCTGTGAAAATAATGAACATATGTTAATTTATGGAGATTGATAGTCAAGTTTGATGTTGTCTTTTGATAATAGACTATTCAAAGGCAGATATAAGTAAAATATATGATTTTTTTAAGTGTTTAATAAAGTATTAATAATCTCGCGCATTTATATTAAACAACATTCTTGAATGAAATGAATCAACCTTGTAAAACTATTTTCCGTTTGATTAATTCTATAATGAGAAATCATTATTCGCAATTTAGCATACTTCTTATCTTACAGTTGAATCTTGATAATGTTTGAAAATACAATTAGAAATAAATATAAAACTTTGTACGAATTGGAACGTTCTATAAAAAGAAGTTGTTTTTATAGAATTCCATACATGATTAAGTATCAACCTATTATACTATAGACTAATGGTAACATCCATATGTTAATTTATCTTCAATTTTTCATATTAGTTTTAATTATATTTAAAATCATAAGTATTTTCTTTGTTCAGTACAGCTTTTGCCGAGCAATTCTATATGTTTTCTAGTTTTCTCAATAAAATTATTTGTATGACAACATTTTTTTCTTTCGTATAATATCACCTGTACAATACTAACATATCATAAAATAACAAGAAAAAGAAAAAACAAGAGAAGAGAAGAGAATAGAATAGAATACACTTGTCATTTACGTTTCCAAATAAAGATACGACTATCATCGGAACAAGCAACCAATACTGAACCATCATAATTGAATGATACACGACTAATTTTTGCTTTTGAATTGGCATTCTTCAATTTAACAAAACTTTACAAGAAAAAAATATAATAATAGACGTAAATAATTCCAAATATTGACTTACTCGACCGAGGGATTATGCATATGATGACGAAGATCCCATACTTGAATCTGACCATCTAATGTACCAATAGCAAGTAACTAGAAGGAAAAAATATATACTTTTCTTCTATCTATTTCAAAATATTATGTGTTTCACTGTTTTTCTGAATAACTTTTGATTGAAATATCATAAAGACCTGCGATTTTCATCATTCAAGAGAGAAGAGACTCGGACCATTGAAGTATATCAAAATTTTATTGATCAATAATTGATCAATCCAATGAGTTCTCGGTAGAGATTTTAAAAAATCATATTCTGAAGCTACTTTCCCTTCAATTAAACCTTATAATATCATCAACCGATAGGCAGAAATTCTTTTCTTTCAATTCATGCAAGACTGACAGTTCTAACTTGTTCCGTTCGAGAGTTGTAAGGATTTTCCTAATACCTCCGATTGCAGCTAATTAACCTATCGTCATCGGTAAAAGCAGTTAGGCCGAGGTACTTCACCATGTTGAGTCAAAGGGTGATATTTACTTTTAGCTTCGAAATGATCTGACTCCGTTATCTCAATATTTGTGAAATCCAAGCCAATCTCTATGTAATGGAGAAGTCGACACTAGAAATATTGAGATAACAGTACGAGATCATTTTGAACCTGAAAACAAATATCACCATTAGACTTAGCACGGTAAATTATGTCTAACTAGCTGCTTTTTCTGGATGATCACAGGCCCATTGGTTACAATTGACAGTCTCAGAAAAAAATCTTATCACTCTCAAATGGATTAAGCTAGAAATGGCGGCCTTGAGTAAATCGAACAAAAAAGAGTTTTCTTATCGATTAGACTTAATAAAAAACTAAATTGAAAGGGAAATAACTTCAAAATATCGTTTTCGAAAAGGTGCACCATGAACTAACTTGATGGATCGATTACTAAACAATCACATTTTGATATACTTCCATAGTTCCGAGCCTTCTCTCTTTTGAATGGTGAAAAGTGCGAGTCTCTATTGATCTTTCTAATAAAAGCTATTAAAATACTAGTGGAACACAAGATATTTTGAAATGGATAATCATAACCTACTTGACTAGCCCGACAAATATCAAATTTTAAAAACCAAATATATTCTTTTTCATGTACAATCCATTTAAGAAGTAATTTAAATGATGATGCTTTTGTTGTATTACTAAAAACTGGTTGCCATAAACAAAAAGTATTATCAGCAGACTAATGAAAAAAAAAACAACAACAACAACAAATTTAAAACAAAAAATTCAATTAAATAAAATAACTAACTAACTCGAGAAAGTAATGCATCACCATACCATTGTACATTATCAACATAATGTGAATGAAGTGTTTTAGCTTTAGCTTCAATATCTGCAAAAGCAACAGCATATGCTTTTATTAATCGACGTTTTTGTTCATGTATTGGATTTTCAGCTAAATCAATTTGTTCTCGAATTTTATCACTTGTTAATGACCATACAAATACTGAACGATCCATACTAGCTGATGCGAGCATTGTACATTGATCATTGATATCCTTGAATTAAATATTAATACTTTTGTTTTTCATAGAAGTTTTTCTTTTTTACCACACAGAGCACTTGATCTGTATGACCATTTGGTCCATGAAATACAACAAGACACATTGATGAAAGAACATCCCAGAGTGTGACCGTAAAATCTTGATAGAAAATTCAATTCGATAAAGAAAATTCTAGGAAGAAAAAAATCAGTTGTGTTTACTTTTGCTAGCTGTACATAGAAGATTAGGTTTAGCTTTAGCAAATGTTAAATGATTGATGGCACCAGTTTGTAAAAGCTAAACAATTAAATATAAATGAATAATTTATAAGAAACGAGAACAAATGTTTTCATTTTTTTAAAGACACTTCCTAACATATTAAAAACCTCATTGTTCCCGAACTCATTCGATAGAGATTTTCTTCAAGAGAGTCTCTCGTTGTTGAATATTCAAATCAAAATTTGTTTCAACCTTCGAACTGTTCTCTGTTACAAGCCATATAAATTAGGACGCCTCTTGGTATGTCAAATTCTCCTAATTATTTATTTCTTGTTCCAAATGTCCCGAGATCATCAATTTCTAACACCATCAATTTTCTATCTTGTTAATCGGCGAAAAAAGCTATGATCCATACAGAAAAATATATTTTTCGTTTTTCTCGAAATCATTTTTTACATACAAAAAAGTATAGAATCACTTTCGTTTCTTCGGCACGGTACGTTCGATCGATTAGTTCTGCAAAAATAACTCTAGTAGAAAAAAAAACATGTTTTGTTGGGAGGTAGGATCGGTATTGCCTTTTTTTTATTTGAATAGAAGAAAATCAAAAGAAACCAAAAAGTGGAAAGCACTCCAAACGATGAAAAACATTTCAGCTCCATCGGACTAATTGCGACTGAGAAATTAGAGCAGTTTTAGCCTTTACGACCCAGATATTTCCTAGTAGAAAGTATTCGGAAGTTTAGAGTCTATGACAACTATTGTTCTATTCATTGAGACATATCTATTCTGGCAGTTTCATTTGATGCTAAATGCTTTACTTTTAGCATCGGTTCTGATGAAAAGTTTCAAATGTGTTGTGATGTACCCTAAAAAGGGCAAAAGCATTTTGCTCCGTCCGTTAGAAAAAGTAATGTTTTCTTACTGCAGTATGTTGTGATTTTCGATTAACATCAAGAATACGAATAACACCTCGTTCGCCACCAGCAGCTAATAAAACTTTTGGTGAATTATCATTTTTATCTTCAATTGTTGTCCATGCACATGCAAAATATTCTTCATTAGCCTAATTTAATAAAAAAAAATGTATTATTTATTTAATTTCTCTTTTATATATTCTTACATCAGGATCAAGATATGCATGAACTAATTGAGTTTTATTTGTATTCGTATCAAATTTATATATTTGAATCTATATTAAAATTAAATATAGAATAAATAATTTGTTCTTTTCGATTGTTGAACTTAATACATACAGAATTTGCCCCAACACTAGCAAAAAGAATTCCATTTGGATATTGTACTTGATTATTGATTTCAACGGCATAAATTTGTTGACGATGATTTTCCTATATGTTAAACGAAGCGAAAGATGTCAATTCAAACTAAATATCATGGCTACCACGTTTGTACTTTGATGATCTGAACGCATGAATATGCTGTACGTATTTTAGATGATGAACGAACTTCTTCTTCACCATTACTATCATCACTATGATCATCTGCAGTTGCGTCCGATGAAAGTACCTAATTGTTTGTATACAAATTATAAATTGATTTATGAAAGAAAACGAAATATTAAGCCTCGCATCCTCCCTCGAAAATCGATTTTGGTCAGTTTCAGAATCCTAATCGCATGAAATTTTCAACCTTATATCATAATGTTTTCGGGAAATATTCAAGAAGTAAGAGTAACAAATAACCTATTCAGCAACCCGAAAGGGTGTGTGATCATGTTTTTTATTTGAAAGAGCATGCCACATTATATTGTCCTTTTACTTATTTTTGTTCTTACTTTTTATGTAGAGAAAAGAATGACAAATGTAATACCTCGAAAAAAATGCTCATCTATTGATAGAAGTGTTTTTTTTTAATATAAAAAATGGCTTGATAAAAAAAACGAGCACTGAACCTTTACATGATCTTTCAAATAAAAAAACAGAAATAAGCTACAATGAAGTTCTTTTGAGACTTCTGGAATGCGCAAGAAAAAAAGCGTATTTTTCAAACATAAGAAAACGGAAATCATCAAAAAAATAAGATGTCGTTTATGAAATATCAGCTCTCGGGCTATCATCACTCTATCGATTTTTCTGATCGAAATCTACATTTTTGAGGGTGAATTAGGGCTTAATTGTAACTAGTTATAGAAAAAGTATTTGACAAAATGTACATTCATTTTTTAGCCTCCGGAGAAATTTGAAAACATTCGAATTTATATAAATATTCGAAATCGAGACAACTTGCATGACATCTCTTACCAAAATACTTTCTTTTGATCAATGACTTGCAGCAAATTAACCATTAGTATACCATTTTAATAGAGAAATATTTGTGCTTTCATTTGCTGCACTCGAAATAATTTTCAGCGCCTCGAAAAGACAAAATTCTAATGCTTACTTAATGTTTTCAAATCTCCGCAGGCTTCTTTTACAGACCGAATAAATAAACGAAACACTATTGTGAAATAATTTTCCGATAAACCAAACCGAAACAAACATGTTCATAAATTCACTCACCCCTGGTGATAATGATGATGCCATTTATTTTATTATTTTTTTCTGTATTAAAAAAAAAAAAGTAAATATCTAAAACAAAACGTTTGATAATCATCCGCTAAAACAATTTATCTTTCTATATAAAAAAAAGCCACTTTTCTTAAAAACAGGAATGAATATAATTATATATATAAAGCACAAAAAAAAAACAAAAAGAACAAGTCCAATTCATTTTACGTGAAATAGAATCTAACACGAAAAAAAACAAACGGAATAATATAAACATTAAAATTTTCTTTTTTTTTCCTTTTTTGCATCACAGTTAAACTGCTAATTGCACTGCTCAATAAAAAAAAACACAAAAACAAAAAAATCTATCACTTTACATTGAATAACGATTTTGTTTATCTTTTTTTGTTCGTATATTTTTTTTCGATGATGTTCGAGATGCATTTGTACAACATACTAATGAATTAAACCATGAACATGAATGAAATTTAGATGATAATATTCTTCGTCCATTACTAATTCCATGACGATATCGTTGTTCATATAAAATATATGTTTCAATAGCTTGTTCAAATACATTTCGTATATTAAAATTTAACATTGATGAACATTCTAAATATGCTTTAGCTGAACATACACGTGCTAAATATTCACCTTGAGTTTGTGTTATTGGTCGTTGATTTTTTTCAGCTAATTGTTCAAGTGTTGATGGATCATTACGTAAATCAAGTTTGGTTCCAACAAGTATTATTGGTACACGAGGTGCATAACCTAAAGAATTATATTGTTTCGTTTTTTTTAATCATAAAAGTTTTTTTTTTGTATACATACGATTTAATTCCGGTATCCATTTACTTAATATATTCGAATAACTATCAGGATCAACAATAGAAAAACAAAGAATAAATACATTTGTATTCGGATATGCCATTATACGAAGTTGATCATATTCTTCCTTTGAAAAAGAACAAAAAATTTTTAAAATGGACATCTTTTTTTAAATACCTGTCCAGCACTATCAAATAAATTTAGAATATACTTTCGATTGTTCAATGTTACTGTTGCTAGAAAATAAAAATAAAAAACGATGTCTATTTCATATATTATGCATTATTTTCTTTTTATTAACCTGCATAATTCTCAAATATCGTTGGAACATATGGATCTTGTGGATATTCTCCATCTTTATAAACAATACATAATGTTGTCTTTAAAAAAATAATTTTTTTAAGAAACAAAATTATTTAATGTAAGATTTTTTTTTTCTTTTACTTTGCCTGTATAACCATCACCTATTTAAGAAAAAAATACATAATAATAAAATTCTAATTTATTTCTTCATCTCTTTGAATATAACTTACCAACAACAACAACTTTTATCTCTTCAGTTAATGATGTTGTTGTCGTTGATTTATAGTTATTCGATTTTGCTTTTGACATGTACTAAAAAGAAGAAAATGAGCGTACATTCATAAGATATAAAATACATGATTTAAATATCCTCGTGAAATTTATACGTACGTTCACCTGTTGATAAAAACATTGAAGATGATGATTTAATGAGATATACAAAGTATGAAGAAAAAAAAAGAAAAAAAATTCGGACAGTGATTTTTTTTCTTCCTCTGTTCTTCTCTTTTTTTTTTTTTGTTTTTTTACTGTGATGACCTGAAGAAACGAGACGAATGAACAAAATGATTCATTCAAATAGACGACGAGACGAGACGAGCATATACATTTATGAATATGGTTAGACAACGAATTGGAATAAGAAAACTGATAGAGGTCGTTTTGAACGTGAGAGATAAGATTTCATATGAAGAATAACTTTAAAGGGCAAACTTTGTCTGATAACGATTTTACTCGATTCGTATATCATCAATAAATAATTATAACGTTTTTCAATGATCTTGGAACAATTACTATACTTACTTCGGGTATATGAATGATGACAATGAATGAATGTTGAAGGTGAAAATTTTTGTTGTGTTGTTCGTAGAGTACACGCACTCACGTCACAACGAAAAAAAAACCGAAACCGATAGAAAAATGAAGGGAACCTTTTTTTTTCTTCGTGTTCTTATTCTTAGTCGTTATAGTAGATGAGATGTTCTTTCGATAGGCTTCTGTTCTTTTTTTTTTCTCTTTATTTTCTTGTGCCTCTTTTTTTGTGTATGTGTATGTGGAGGTGTTATTTAATAATCTACATATAGTTATTCATTTTTTCTCTTCACCTTCTCTTAAAATATATTATCATATCAGTCACATACCTTATACAATCTTTTTGCTTCACGTCAACAGGTAGACAAATTAATTGATCAACTTCACTAAAAGAAGAAAAGAGAGAATAAATATATATATATATATATATACAAGTCGCAATGTAATTATTTGGTGTTGTTGTTATTGCATCTAATTCAGTAATCAATTTTTTACTTCATACTACCCATATACGTATATATCAAATATAGATGTCAACTCATCGATAAAAGAAAAAAAAAACACAAGGACAAATAAAATCGATATTATGAAGCATATACTTTAGATTGCTATAATTCATATGTTACATCATATATATAATCAATGAAAGAACATGCTTATTGAAGTTCATAAAAAAAAAAAGAACTTCTCTTTTATGTTTGACAAACTATTGACAGATGGTTCAAATAATATTTCAGATGTCAAATAAAATATGAAAGAGAAAAAGAAAGTAGAATTTTATAAATTTATTATATTTGTTAAAGCAAAAATAGCATTAAAAGAAATAAGAAAGAGATTTGGATGTTTTGTCAAAAAACAAAAACTTTTTTTCTTTAAATAAATAATTATTTAAATCATAAACAATACCAATTGTGAACATATTGTTTTTCTATTGATATGATTTCGAAAGAATCAAGTGATTTTTACTATTCAATAAATAAAGGATAAAGAATAAAATGTGCTTTAAACACAATGATCGATCTAATCTCAAATAATAGGATCATTGGTATTTCGAATAGAATGAAAACTATTTATAGATTAAGTCAAATATCTAAGTTATACATATCAAAGAAAATAATTAACTGAACAAAAGATAAAAAAGACAAATCTTTCGAATAAATATTACAAGCTATTTTCTTAGTCACAGAATATTTGAATTGTGTTCAATCATTAATTCAACATAATATAACATGTTAAATTCAATTTTAGTACATAATTTCTTTCTAATCCACTCTCGTGATTTTGATCTTCTTTCGTTCTATATAATTTAATCTACATTGTCAATTGAAAATTTCTGCATATTTAATCAATGAGGAGGATTAAAATATGTTTAATTATAGAGTCCATCGAATAAGAATACTAATCAAATTCATATCATCAATATTGATTTAAAAAGTGATAGAACATAACAAACTAACAAGAGAATATTTTTATATGACCAATCGTTTTCTTTTCAAAGCTACAGGATTATTGATTATCGAACATGTTGATTTCGAATACGATCATGAGAAATTTTCATAGACCTTCATATGTTAGTTTTCTACATGAAGGAACTTTTCGTCAAGAAAAAAAGGTTTGTTTTAGATCTGTCCAGATTATAGAACATGTCGCGTTATCTAGAAAACAGTAACTTTTTTGTGTCTAAAACCGTTGTTTTACTTTTGTGCAGAAAATACAACCATTTTAACTCGTACGATAAATACACTATTCATATTTCAGTGTGGAAATCTTTAAGATGATATTCTCTTAATACTAACGTTCAATCTTCCGATATTAAATCAAAACACGTACATTCATTCGACTGCTTAGGTTTTCTATAAAACGTTTTTAAGTTACCAAGAAAAAATTGCATTAACATATCACTTAGAAATTAAATATATATGTAATTTTCTTCGTAAAGAAAAAGAAAAAGAAATTCACAAATCTAATCAAGAAAAAATTGAAAGCAAGAAAACCCTTATTTATTTTCATTAGAAGAAAAGAAGAAAACAAAACAAAACAAAACAAAAAACGGAATAAAGTACATTATAATCTGCATAAAGTACATAGATGCAATAAATTTCAGACTCTTTGTTTTTTGTGATAATGTTTTAATATATATAACAGTAAAGCAATAAATTTTTTTATATTAAAAGAAAAACATTAATAAAATAAATGTTTTTTTTTTTCTTATGATATATTTTGATAATGTTTTTCATAATTTTTTTTTTGTTGTTGTTGAAGAAAACCTAAATCAACAAAAAGTATTTCACCATTAGCAGCTATAATCATTATTTGTTTCGTCATAGTCATTGCTGCTGCTTCACTGTCTAATTGAAATAACTCTGTCATTATATTTGTATTATTTTGTCCTATCTCAAGTACGCGTGACCAATGTTTTTGCCATTGACCATTAAAATATTTTCCTGATGTCATTGTATCTAATATATAACATTTATCATTATTTATTGCTTGTACTGAACATGGCCAACGAAGACGTTCAGTTGATAATAATTCAGCATCAATTATTTTAATTATATTACCAGAATTTGCATCACATATATGAAGTGAAAATGTATAAGCAATACCTTAAAATTAAAAGAATTTCATTTTTTACTCATTGATAAAAATATTTTTCGTTTCATACCTTGATTATAATAAGGTTTACATGAATGTTCAATAATTATATATAAACGTTGTCCATAAGCAGAAATTAATTTCGGTCGTGCTAAATATATTTAAAAAAAAAGTTAAATATATCTTGACTTTCTAAGAATAATGTTTGATTATAAAATAATATGATTCGTGTCTATTGAAGACTTATATATCTGTTAGTACTATTGAATAAATTTTGAAGTTACGAGCAACATCTTATAAAATTATCGATAACTGTGAATGATACTCAAAAGAGAATACCAATTAGTCATGTAAATGAAAATTGGTTAACGATTTGTTTTCATGTGCTGTCCTCCCTAAGTTAAAGCAGCTATGGTTTCAATAAATCCCAAAAGAATATGTTCTAGTAATTTCTCGCTTTTTAGGCTACTCGTAGTCTCATCAAGACGTACTTATAGGTAAAGTATTAATTCGATTGACAGGTCACATTTGAGAATACTCTTTGGTAAGATACAACAAAATTTTGAAAAATTTGGTCATATTATTAATTAATAATATTTTTAGAAAAATACGTGCTATCCATTTCAAAATGTCATGCGCTCCACTATTTTTTGAATAACTTTTGATAGGAACCACATAGAGTGCTATGGTTTTCACTATTCAAGAGAGAAGACCAGGAATCATCAAAGTATATGGAAATATGATTGATCATTACTTGACCAATTAAGTGAGTTCTTGGTAGAGATTTTCGAAAACAATATTCTGCAGATATTTTCTTGGTCGGTCTACCCAATGGTGACATTCCTAGTTAGTTTCGTTCGAGAGTTATACGGCTTCTTCTTCGATCCCCAATGGACCTGTGATCATTTGAAAAAGCAGCTAGGCAGAAGCAATTCACCATCCTGAGTCAAATGGTGATATTTTTTTAAGATTAGAAATGATAGGACTCTGTTATCTGACATTCCACAATCAGCCTCCATGTAAGGAGAGAGAGTCAACATCTCAAAAATATTGAGATAACAAAGCCAGTACATTTCTAATCTAAAAACAAATATTACCATACGACTCAACATACTAAATCACACCTGTCTAACTGCTTTTGTAGGTGACTGCGATTCAATTGAATGAAATCAGAGGTCTTAGGGAAAGTCTTACAATTCTCTGACAGGACAAGCTAGGAATACTGGCTTTGTGTGGATCGAAAGAGAAGAATTTTTTCTATCGATTAGCTCTAATAATAGCCTAAATTGAAAATAAAATACTTTCAGTATATCGTTTTCGAAAATTTCTACTAAGAACTCACTTGATTGGTCAATCACTGATTAATAAAGTTTCGATGACTCTAAGTCTTCTCTCTTGAACAATGAGAACTTCCGGTTTCTTTGGTAATTCCTATTAAAAGCTATTCAATAACTAGTAAAAACACATTATATTTGCAAATGAATAGTAGTCATATTCTTTTGGAATAAGAATAGGTAGCTTATATTCGTTTTTTTCTTTGGTCTCTAAATAATACCTTCATCATATTGATCTGAATGATTATAAATTCTCCATTGTGTAATAAATTCTAATTTATCATCAAATTTAATAACACATGAATTTCGATAATCACATACATAAACATGTCCATGCACATTATCTGTATCGATACCTAATGGTAAAAATGTACCTGATTCTCCAGATGCATCTGTTTCTAAACAAAACACAACAACACATTTTTGATTAAAAAAAAGATAACAGAAACAGATTTTAAATTTCATACCTTTAACACAATCTAATGTTTGTCCACTATCAATATCAATCATACTTACAATATCACCATGTGATATATAAGCTATATTAGGTGTTTGATATTTTTTTGATAT